GTGAGGTATAACACCATAGAGAGAAATGTCGAAGCTATGAAGTCGTAGCATGTGTATTTGCATATTTGCCTGACATTGCTGGCGATCAGCAAGGCATTACCATGAATGGGATTGTCACAGGCGTACTAGATCCCTGACTGAATCTGGATGTAGGGGAAAGGGCCCGGTGTGATCAAAAGAAGCCCAGTAACCGTAATTGAGAACTCGGAGTGCCAGGTACAATGTGCCTGCTGAAACTATGTCACCAGATCTGTCAGGCGTTTCATGGCCAGGCAAGTCTCTTTCATCCACCTGGAGAACGCGCATCCAAATTCATTGGCCGGCCACAAGGTCCACCTCAGATTTCCGGTGCTGAACAGCCCAATACCCATGCCACATTCCTAACAGAGGGTGACAGTCACAAAGACACCCAGAATCACATCGTCAGGGTCTGGGGATGCTAAAACATCATTCGGAAAACCGCACGTCAGAAATGGACAGTCATCAAAATATGACACTAAGATGGACCAAAAGACTCAACTCAGATTTGTCTATAGCAAGCGTCAGGAAAAAAACCTGATAGAGCAGTAGAAAGTTTACTGGCATCCTTGATGGCGATGCAAATATTCTTGCAGGTCCAGACGGTGTCAGTGGCCTTTCCTGAAAGTATGTCAAAAAGCCAAAAAAAAATGGAGGGATATAAAATCTGCCATGAGTCTAGCTCAGGACGACAATAAGCATTTTGGCTGAGAGACCACTCCGCATCGGCAATATCAGATACTCCGGGCTACCCTACTGAAGATCCACATGATCGCCAACCTGTGGGGACCATGCAACCTGACAGCATTATCGCCCAAGAGAGTGTCGGACAACATGCCTGTGGGTTGACAGACTATCCCAGTCAGAGTCATCAGATACTCTGAGCTACCTCGCTTAAGATCCACGTAATCGCCAACCTGTGGGGACCATGCAACCTGGCAGCGTTATCGCCAAAGGGAGCGTCTATCTGGGGTGGGTATAGTCAACCTCGATAACTCTCTACTACGTTGAGACTCCGCCTGAAAATTTGAGTTGGAGGGGCCTGAGAAAACTGTGGATCAGATGGGCGGGCATTGCAGGGACTGCAAGTGTTGCATGGCCATGACTAGTTCATATAGCCTGTAACACCAATTCTTCAGAAGTCGTGTGAAGGAAGGATGCAAATAATGACAAAATCATGAAGGAAGTAGAGTAAGACAACATGTGAAACTAACAACAAGAGCAATGTACAGAAGACACACTTAGTAATCATGTTGATAGATGGATGTCTCAATATACGCTTTGTCCTTCAAGCTAGTTTTATCCGAACATCCCTTCGCAGGCATGTCTTGGGGATTTATATTATGAGACCGGGTCATATAAACTTTGGACTGAATTGCTCTATATGGATGTTAGGCATCGACTTTGGACTGACCTTTGGACTGACTTGTATATAGATGTCACACTGACCGATGTGAGTTTTGGACCGAGCTTTTGACTCACTTGCTGTATATAGATGTGAGACTGGCCGTTATCAATGCGAACTTAGGACTGTCTTTTAGCTGACTTATTCTATGTAGATGTCTGACTGGCCCATGTGAACTTTAGACTGGTTAGTTATATATAAATGTCAGATTGGTACGAACTTCGCACCGAAGAACTTTGTCTCTTTTTTCTTCCTGAATTCCTCAACGTCTCACCTTCATGTTCAAGTTTGGTTTCCCCCTGACAAATAAGTCACTAAAACCTAGTCTGAATGACTCAGATTTCCATTCAGTTTGCAGTTATATAACCCTGCAATATGCTACAAAATCATGAATTCCATCTTAGTAGAGAGAGCGACAATCTTGATGAAGGACTCACGAGACACTAATCCAGGTGCCAAACCGCTTCCAAGGTACACGACAATTGAATATACGCCATCTGGCACTTCTCAGGCTTCACCCGTCTTCCTGTTGGTCATGCATTGACGTGCTTACATCAACTGGGGTGGCAAGAATGACTACATGTCTTCTTCCAATTTCTCCTAAGACCCTCTTGTCACTCCAGCACTACATCCTGGGGCTCTTATTAACATGTAAACAGCCTAAAATGTCGAAGAACACAAAATCCTCAGCAACTTCGGGTACACATCAGAAAGCCGAAGAAACAGAAAGGTCAGAAAAAAGTACCCCGGAAGAAGGTCTACATGCCTCCTTCTAAGCCAGCCCCATCGCAGCCAGATCCAATGGATACTCTCGGCCCTATACATAGACTTCGCCCGGAACTAGTCATCATTTTTCGATCGTGGGGAAAGAAGAATCCCCTCACGAAGGGACAGGCCCTGGAAGAACTTAAATCAAAATGGATCGATGAAAGTTCAAGGAAGGGGGATGAGAGCGTAGAATGCGATGCACTTGTCATGATGCTACTAGTTTGGGTGTGTCGTTTGGCAACCATGATCCGTATCTCGACATTGACTGTATCTGGTTTCATAGGGCTCCTGTATTCTTTGTACATGTGCGCCGGATCCGCCTTTTGGCTGCTGCACCGCATGCACCTTGGATTCCGGACCCTGAAATCCATGGTCTTTGGCATGGGCAACCTTCAGCACGTCAGGTCACATGGGCATTATTATCTGTGCTGCCATGACGTTACAAAGGTGATCTGTTAATTATTTCTTCTGTTCAAGGCACTGAGAAATATACAGGCGCTATTGGGGCATTCATTCCTATACCGAGCATTGTTTTACTTCGTTTTGCAAGACGGACTCGGGAGTTGGATGGCACGCTTTGTTCCAGCCAGTCTTAATTTTCCTTCCGTCTACAAAATATAAGTAAGCTAATTTATGTGTTTGCGGATTCCAGTAGCAAGGGAAATGGCGTGAACATGACAGAATACTGTGAGCCTTTGCGAGAGTGAAGATTTGGACACGATTGTTTGAGGCTTTTATCATGCTCCACAAACATTGTGGCAGGTCTGGCGGGCTCATGCCCAGAGGGTCTAGTGGATGCATATCAATGATTCGGAAACGTAGCAGCGTAAGGCGCTTACCCCGAATAATATCATCTCCTCATTCGACTCGGAGGTTCTCTGGCTGTAACGTATCCGGGTACACAGCCAGAGGGACCGAGAGGTCGCACTCTTGAAAGTAAATTCATGTGCGATCCTCTCTAAAAGCTTGTGTGTGGTCCAAGGACAATGCCTATGCCTTTCACTATTGAGATGCATTAATTCTCAAGGTTACG